TCACCATCTACAAGAGTAGGTTGGTGGCTAAGGGGTTTATGCAGAAGGAGAAGCGGGACTTCAATGAGATCTTTGCTCCCACTGCCAAACCCCCTACCCTTCGTGTCTTGTTAGCAGATGCAGCCGTTAGTGGGAAGTTCATTATCCAGATGGATATATCAACGGCATTCCTCAACGGGATTTTAGAGGAGGAGGTGTTCATGACGCAGCCGCCTGGGTATGAGGATGGTACGGGCAGGGTGTGCAAGCTGAAAAAATCCATCTACGGCTTGAAGCAGGCATCACGCTGCTGATACCAGAAGTTGGCAGCTGTTTTAGAGGAGATGGGATTCAGGACCAGCAGCTGTGATGAGAGTATCTTTCTCAAGGGGGAGGGGGAGAAGCTGGTGTTGTTTCTGGTCTACGTGGACGACATTCTTCTCTTCAGCAGCAGCATGAAGGAGATCCAGAAAGTGCAGCAGCAGCTAATGGAGAACTTCAAGTGCAAGAACCTTGGGGAGGTAAAGTACTATCTCGGGATGCATGTGAAGAGGGATCTGGATCACAGGTGGTTGAAGCTGCACCAGAAGTTCATCAAGGAGCTGGGGGAGAAGTATGGGATTGAGAATGAGCGCAAGGTTGCAACTCCCCTGCCAGCAGAATTCAAGCTTGTAAAGGCTGCAGTGGATGAAGGGGTTGAAGCTGAGGAGCAGCAGCAATTCCAGTCCTTGGTGGGCAGCCTCTTGTATGCAGCTGTTCACACGAGGCCTGACATCTCTTTCTCGGTTGGGCAGCTGGCTAGGGTGGTGCAGAATCCATCAGAGGAGCAGGTGGATGCAGCCGAGCGTGTAGTGAAGTATCTGAACTCTCACCCAAGCATTGGAGTTCAATACTCCGCATCTGCACAGGTGAAGCAGAAAGGGGTTGAGGTGCTGAAAGAGAAGGGGGAGAGGCTTGGAGAAGGCAAGCTTTTTCTCACTTGCTTTGCCGATGCAACTTGGGCTTCTGAGAAGGAAGATACTTCATCTGTGGGAGGATACATCTGCGTAGTAGGGTGAGGACCTGTTAGTTGGAGGTCCAAGAAGCAGACGGAGACAGCACTCTCTTCCGTGGAATCAGAGTACATGGCAATGTTCCATGGGGTGAAGGAGGTGATTTGGCTGAGGAGGCTGTTAGAGGAGATTGGCCAGGAGCAAAAGGTTGCTACGCCGCTGTTTTGTGATAGCAAGGGAGCTCTTGGAATGGCCCGGAACGCTGTGCTTCATGGGCTGAACAAGCACATGCGTATCAAGTGGCACTGGCTGCGTAAGGAAGTGAAAATGGGGACGGTGAATCCGATCTACATCAATACTCACCAGCAGCCAGCAGACTTTCTCACCAAGAGGCTTGCGGATAAGCCTCATTGGCGTTGTGTGCGCATGAGTGGAATGAGCATGAACTAGCATGGAATGATGGAAATGCAGCCGGCAGGCTGAGGGGGAGTGTGTTGGGTGCAAATTCACATTGCACGACATCCTGCCGTCGGTTTGTACGAGTATGTGTGTGCATTCGCATTTGCGTGTGAATGGTATGTTCGTGTGTTTGTTTGCTTTTGCAATTTTCGCTTGAAGCACTTGCAGGTACTCGCACAATGTGCGCTTCGGCACAACATTGTACGCGCTATGAACAATACAAGCAGAAAGGAGGAGCTCGCAAAGGAACCCAAGATGGAAGCTTTGCGGTTCGGCTTACTTGATTGCGCAGATTCAGTTCTATCCAACTCAAAATTGTACTGTTTTGTTTGGTTGACTATAGTGTAGCAGGGCAGGCACTATAGGGGTACAATTTAGGTGAAGGTTGGATGTTATTTGTCTGTATCTGCATGCTACAGGGCCAGGGGAAACCAGCGAAACCAGCATTTGGCTGGTTGGGCAAAGACAAAACAGGTTCTGTTTTTGGGACCTGAACCTGGTTGTTGTTTTCCCAGGTTGAAAAGACAGAACCAGAGGTTTTTTACCAACCTACCACCTGCTATTTTGTCCAGCCAGGTTGGTTCTGTTGCTTGGAATTATTTGGGATCATCCCTGGTTGTTCCCAGGTTGATTCCCAAGGTCCTTGCTAGCTAGAGCTATTTATTCCTTCTCTGTTTGTACCTGAATATAGTGATATTGATTCAAGCGAATTCCTTCCTTGCTGGAATTTCCTTTCTACGCGGTGCGACGGCGGAATGCTACCCGAGTCAACGCTAGTACGCTAGCACTCCAACGCTAGGCAAACGCTGTCTGAGCCATAACTTCGTAATGGCAGAACTTTTCGCGAGGCAACTTGGTTCATTTTAAAGCTCTTGGAGCGAGCTTCGATATAGTAAATTCTCAGCTTAATCCGATCAACGGTGTGCACGATACGCTGCGCAACGTTCAAGGTACTCTTGCTGTTTTGACTAAGTCTCTCTTGATCCCTCTCTCTACAAACTCGGACCCGAGGATAGGGGCTGGTCTTGTACCAGGCACCCAAGGACCCTTGGAGGTGACCCCGAGGAGAGGTTGTAAGTTTGATAAAGTCTTAATAGCTTGAGTTTATTAGGTTTTTACACCAACAAGTACTCCGTTCAAGAAGCCTGTGACAGCTACACGATCATCACCAATGCGCGCACTGTGGAGGGCGGCTTGTATTACTGCACGACTGGCACTTGACATTGGCGCTAATGTTTATGACTGGCTAACGATGTCGAGCCGCGTGGTCGTTACCAGGCACGATACAGACCGCCCATCTCACGGGCCATCTTCCCTACAAGGCATGTCGCCCTCGTTTAGAGTGACTACGACGTGAGCATAGGAGAATGCGGAGGATCTGAAGTCTCACCGTTGCGAGCACGGTGAGAAGAACGTGCCTATTGAGTCAAGAACTTGTGTTTAGGAACCGTGCGTGAGAGTCGAGGGGGGTGAGGAAGAGCGGATTGTGTCGCGAATCGATATAGGGGGGAAATCAGAATCACGTAGGTGAGCTCAAGAGGTTTCAAACAAACATGGAAATGCAAATGTACAATTACAACTTAACAAGACACTCAAGTCATCCATAACTAGTAAACATTCATATCCTTAGGACTGATGTTGAACAACCCTTAATTTATAACGATACGGGAATTACCCAATAACTCCATGCCCTAACGTATGATTGTTGCGTGGAGCGAATACCTATGGCGTGTCTTCTCTCGAGGTGTAGTGTACCTCTACGCACCGTGCTGAATGAATATGCAAGAATGGATTACAATGTCGTACAATAACACAACGATTTCAATGTCCATGCAATGTTGGATGATAATGCAACACCATACCACAACGGATTCACCATGTCGCGCAACCCGCAGGCCTGAACGCTGCATCGTCGCATAGTCTAACCATGGCTGTCGATAACGCATCTACGCTTGTGCGTTGGGCCTGTGCTTCATACAACACCTTCTAAGCACCTTGTTTAATATTTGTGCAAGAATGGATGCCAATGCAACACCATACCACAACGGATTCACCATGTCGCGCAACCCGCAGGCCTGAACGCTGCATCGTTGCATAGTCTAACCATAGCTGCCGATAACGCATCTACGCTTGTGCGTTGGGCCTATGCTTCATACAACTCCTTCTAAGCACCTTGTTTAATGTCTGTGCAAGAATGGATGCCAATGCAACACCATACCACAACGGATTTACCATGTCGCCCAACCCGCAGGCCTGAATGCTGCATCGTCGCACAGTCTAACCATGGCTGTCGATAACGCATCTATACTTGTGCGTTGGGCCTGTGCTTCATACAACTCCTTCTAAGCACCTTGTTTAATGTCTGTGCAAGAATGGATGCCAATGCAACACCATACTACAACGGATTCACCATGTCGCGCAACCCGCAGGCCTGAACGCTGCATCGTCGCACAGTCTAACCATGGCTGTCGATAACGCATCTACGCTTGTGCGTTGGGCCTGTGCTTCATACAACTCCTTCTAAGCACCTTGTTTAATGTCTGTGCAAGAATGGATGCCAATGCAACACCATACGACAACGGATTCACCATGTCGCGCAACCCGCAGGCCTGAACGCTGCATCGTCGCACAGTCTAACCATGGCTGTCGATAACGCATCTACGCTTGTGCTTTGGGCCTGTGCTTCATACCACTCCTTCTAAGCACCTTGTTTAATGTCTGTGCAAGAATGGATGACAATCCAACAGCATACCACAACGGATTCACGTTTGTTACTATTGATAATCGTGTTAGAATGTCGTCCGCTGGCCCTAAACCATTGTGGCAAAGCCTAAAAGTGCACAGTACATCTGTCACAAGTAATAATTCTGGACGGTCGTTGTGTGTGTGACGTAAGAATCACCGATTAACTTACCCCAACCCCGTGGTAAACCATTTGCAACTTAGAGTTTGATGAAATGCATTGTTGTATGTTTGAATAAAATTTAGTGATTTATGCGTTGGCAACCGTGATTGGCCGATGCATCTCAAACGATTCCCCCCGCAACACAGTCATCAGCCAAGAGGTACTTCAGCCATTGAGCGGCTGAGATCGAGCGGTAGGTGGGTTTATGCTAGGGTGGCTACACGTACACCGTCCAATATAGCCTGATAGGGTTACATTACTCTCTCCTGTCTCGCAACCCACCCCAACCACCCTCGTGTCCCACCCACCTGCTTCCGTCACTCCCTGGACCAACACTTTGACGCTGCTCATTGCCTTGACACACGCCTCTCCAGATCGGCCTTAGCATGAAGCATAATGGCTAGTATGACAGATTTAGTTGAAGCGGCAGTTTTCCGAAACACATAACAGTGATATACCATCGATAATCCCATCGTGGGATTGCAGAACCCTTTCAAAACCGCCTCAACCCTTCCGCTCGATTTGCAACTTTGCTCCTCCTACAATTACCATGACACGTGCAACACGTAACCAAGCAATGGAGGAGGAACAGGCTGGCCGCCGCGCGACAAGGAGGACGTCTGAACAAATCGATAGGGAGTGTGGTGGCGGCGCTAAAAAAACTAATGCGTCCGTCGCTCGTGGCATTGGGCAGAAAAAAAGCGGCGGCAAAAAAGGTCGCGCGCGGTCAACAGGAGGCCGGCAAGAAAGAAGAAGACAAGGGGCCTAAACCAACACCACGCAAGCGTGTTTCTACAGTAAACAAAGATGCGGATGTTGCCTCTGCTGGAACCGAGCCCGGTCCGAGTAAAGACGGCACCACTGGCGGCAACGAAGATCCGGGGCGAGGGAGCGCGAGTCTTGCACTCCCGTCGGCGGAGATGGAGGGATCGGCGACGGAGGGAAATCACGGAGGCGATCCCCGCGTCGAGCATGCCGCAACCAAGGAGTCCGAGGCGGCGGCAACGCAACACCATCTGACGCTGCTCCAGCTGACCGTGGTCGAAGCTTCTGCAGCCGTGCTGGATAAGGACAAGGTGGGGGAGCACGAGTCGGTGGGGCTGGTCGGTGGCTCTCCACCTTCTGGTGGACGGGGGAGGCGTATGCAGAGGAAGAGCGATGGGGAGGACGATTATGACACCGCCATGCCCGGGGACCTCATTACGCGGGCGAAGAGGCGGCAGAGGACAGGTAGTGCTGACGACGCCGGAGGCGCGGATGTTGGGACACCGAGAGGCGCCAATGAAGCTAGTGGCAAGGCGGGTGGTCAAGCATTGCGCCAAAAGGGCCGACCCGCAGCAAGAAAAGCATCTGGCGGAAGGAGAGGCAAGAAAGCAGCGACGGGAACAAAGCCGGAACGGGGCGATGAAGACCCCGGTGCGGAGGAGGAGGAGGATCAGGAGGAGGATGCGAAGGGAGAGGAGGATGAAGATGAGGAGGAGGAGGATGAGGAGGAGGAGGAGGAGGAGGAGGAGGAGGAGGAGGAGCAGGGTGACGACGAGGAGGAGGATGTGGAGGAGGAGGAGGAGGAGGAGGAGGAGGCAGCGGAGGAGGATGAGGAGGAGGAGGAGGAGGAGGAGGAGGAGGAGGAGGAGGAGGAGGAGGAGGAGCAGGGTGACGACGAGAAGGAGGATATGGAGGAGGAGGAGGAGGAGGAGGAGGAGGAGGAGGAGGAGGAGGAGGAGGCAGCGGAGGAGGAGGAGGAGGAGGAGGAGGCGGCGGAGGAGGAGGAGGAGGAGGAGGATGTGGCGCCAGTGAAGGGACGGGGCGGGCGTGGCAGACGGGTGAGTGGTACAGGGAAGGAGGGGAGCAGGACTCGCCCTTCCCGAAAACGCGGGGCAGTTGACGCTGCGCGCGGCCAAGCATCGGGCAAACCGAAGGCGCGTAAGGTGAAGGTCGAAAGTGAAGGGGTTGGCAAAAAGCAAGGGAGCCAGGGAGCAAAAGGGGATGGAGGAGGAAAGGGTGGCCACGCCAAAGGGGTTCCAGTGGGTACCAACAAGAAAGAACCTGCCGGTAAACGTCGCAGCGTCCGCCAAAGCACCCCGCGGAAAGGTGGCAACGAGAAGGCGTAGGCCGCCCCAAAACAGAAGGGACAGCAGAAAGGTGAGCATTGTGTCCAATAAAACTGGCGTGACGTGTTGAACCATCTGCTAAACCGTGCCAAAAAACACCCTTTTTTCACATTGTTTCTCCCATGCAGGGAAGGAGAAGGTCGACGAATCTGCCAAGCAAGGTAAACCCTCTTGTCTCAAACCAGTACAACCCTGAACCCGATCTAGATTCAAACCTTTCTGAATATGCATGCATGTCTGGCCCCGCCTTGAAACCGATCGACTCTAATTTTTTTTTTCCGGCTCCCTCTACATCTCAGCCCCTCGCGTTACAGGCATTGGGCCGCCCGTAAGCGTGCAACGAATGCATCTAACGAAGGCTGCCGAAAGAGCGAGTGTTACACCGCTCTCCTCCGGAGCACCAAGGTACTATACGCCATGGGCCGGCCCGAGCAAAGTCGCTGCGACGGCACCAGGCGCGCCAAGAGGAGAGGAATCCGAATCCCCTCCACCCGCCCCCGTCACGCAGTCCCCACTCGCCTCACCCTCGTACCAATTTCGGCAACTCCACGCTTCTCCTGTACGGGGCAGGGCGGTCTCCCCTCTCGCCGATCCTTCGCGCGGGCATCAGGCAGGCAGTTATGCCAATCCCTTCCCTAAGCTCCCCTTTTCCCGCCAGCGTGATAGTGTTAGGGCACACGGGACTGCTGCAGAAGACGTTGATCCCCTTGGCCAAAGGGGGGATTCTTCACACCCTTTTCCTCCGCTCATGGGTGCCCTAGGTGAAAGTGCGGAGCACGAGCAGTTTGTTACACGTGAGGAGCTCCAGGCGCTGCGGTCTGAGATGTACGCCATGTTTGCACAGCTCGGCCTGCGTCGTGGAGTACCTGCCAGCTATGCCGGCGGGTCGGCAGCCCTGCCTATGGCTGGTACCCCGCCGCCGATGAGCGCCGTGGACAAGGCACGAGTGCTAGTGTTGCAGGAGACAAACCCATTCCCGGTATGCGGCGGGCCACATGGGGAGGGTTGGGGTTGACGTGGCAACAAGGGCGGGGTTGGGGCTGACGTGGCGGTTTCGAAGGGAACACGGGAGCGGCGCGTGACGAGGCGACGCGTATCAGGTGGGTGGGGGGTGACGTGGCATGGGGTGGGTGGGTGTGACGTGGCAAGTGGCGCGGGTTGTTGGTGGACGTGGCGGATGCGGGTTGGGTGTGACATGGCAAAAGGTGAGGGTTGGGATATGACGTGGCGGTGTGAAAGGGTGCAAGGGAGTGCCGCATGACGGCGCGAGGCGTTTCAGGTGGGTGGGGGGTGACGTGGCTCTTGGTGGGGGGTGTGACGTGGCAAGTAGGGCGGGTTGTTGGCGGATGCAAAAGGGTGTGACGTGGCAGAATGTGAGGGTTGGGTCTGACGTGGCGGTTTGGAATGGTAACTGGAGCGGCGCGTGACGAGGCGACGCGTGTCAGGTGGGTGGGGGGTGACGTGGCATGGGGTGGGAGGGTGTGACGTGGCACGTGGGGCTGGTTGTTGGTGGACGTGGCGGATGCAGGAGGGTGTGACGTGGCACGTGGGGCTGGTTGGTGGACGTGGCGGACAAGGAGGGTGTGACGTGGCGGAAGGTGAGGGTTGGGGATGACGTGGCGAATGCAGGTGGGTGTGACGTGGCGGAAGGTGAGGGTCGGGGATGACGTGGCGGTTAGAAATGGTACACGTGACCACTGCACATGACGAAGCGAGGCGTGTCAGGTGGGTGGGGGGTGACGTGGCTTGTGGTAGGAGGGTGTGACGTGGCACGTGGGGCTGGTTGGTGGACGTGGCGGATGCAGGAGGGTGTGACGTAGCGGAAGGTGGGGGTGGGGGATGACGTGACAGATGCAGGTGGGTGTGACGTGGCGGAAGGTGAGGGTTGGGGATGACGTGGCACCCTAAAAGGGTACACGTGAGCGGCGCATGACGAAGCGAGGCGTTTCAGGTGGGTGGGGGGTGACGTGGCTCTTGATGGGGGGTGTGACGTGGCAAGTAGGGCGGGTTGTTGGCGGATGCAAAAGGGTGTGACGTGGCAGAATGTGAGGGTTGGGGCTGACGTGGCGGTTTGGAATGGTACACGGGAGCGGCGCGTGACGAGGCGACGCGTGTCACGTGGGTGGGGGGTGACGTGGCATGGGGTGGGAGGGTGTGACGTGGCACGTGGGGCTGGTTGTTGGTGGACGTGGCGGATGCAGGAGGGTGTGACGTGGCACGTGGGGCTGGTTGGTGGACGTGGCGGACAAGGAGGGTGTGACGTGGCGGAAGGTGAGGGTTGGGGATGACGTGGCGGATGCAGGTGGGTGTGACGTGGTGGAAGGTGAGGGTTGGGGGTGACGTGGCGGTTAGAAATGGTACACGTGACCACTGCGCATGACGAAGCGAGGCGTGTCAGGTGGGTGGGGGGTGACGTGGCTTGTGGTAGGGGGATGTGACGTGGCAAGTGGGCCGGGTTGTTGGTGGACGTGTCGAATGGCGCAGGGTGTGACGTGGCAAGTTCAAACAGTGTTGCTAGTCACCATCCCATGGTCACGCGGCCACCCTCATAACCGCTGGTTTCTCTCTTCCATGTCATGTTGTATACCTCACACCCCTGCGCAGAACAAAGCTTACTTAGTGTGCTCTCAGCTCATGTTTCTGAACCCGCCGGAGAAAATACAGTACTACCCTGCACCGGAGGAAGTGTTCGAAGCGTTCTCTGTCCACTTGTCTGTAGAAGGGCTCGAGGCAATGAAGCTGCTGTGGTTGCACAATGACAAGTCCACCATGGGAGTCTTCATCCACCAGCTGTCCTCAACAAGGTCAACTATCAACTCCACCCTCAGGCCAGCAACATACACCGGCATGGGCCTTGCCGATTACAGCCATCTCGTGGATAGCCTGCCCACTGAGCTACACCCAACGACCTGGTTCGATAACGATCAACTCCTAGCCGAGTACAGAGGTGGTATGTGCAGTGCAACTCGAAAACACAATATGCCCTACCATATGCCCCTTGGCATCTACATATCACCGTGCGATGTGGCTCACCCTGACTCTCATCCTCCCATTTGATTTCTCTACAAAACCCTTTCCAACCCATACCCTCCCTGCCAAAAAGCAGAACAGTGGGCCCTCAACTGGCAATTTGACAAGGCCACCGGGACACCCTTCAGCAACCCCTTGTTCGCTTATGCGTTCAAGCTCTCCTTCAAGAGGGGCGGGGCGGTGTTCACCAAGTTCAAGAGCCGCATGGTGGCATGGGGCCTGTTTTCGGTAAGGATGTAGATATGTGTTTGTACCCCCATGCCTCATCCCCTTAACCCCTTGCCTGTACTTCAGCTAAAACCCTGGTCGATTAGGCCTTTGCAGTTACGTAGATAGTGACGACTGCATCACCGCTTTCAGTTGCCTCATTTACCCGTAACCTACCCTCCTCATAAACCATCCACCCAACCCTACACCACATTGCAGATCGAATGGCCCCTTCTGCAGGATAAGCGTCGCAAGCGAATCAGTAGTCAGCCGGAGCAGAACAGGCCAGACTACCAGGAGTGGTGCGAAAAGGTCAAACAGATGATCCATTTTGCTGTCGTGGAGCGGAGGATCCCCCACGATCCGGCTATGGGTGCGTTCGTCTTTCCGAACAAGTTCCTCATCGACGACGGCGACCTTGGAGATGTCGTCCTTGCCCACCAGGCGCTTTCAAGGCCCACCCGTGCGTAGGCTATTTGACCTGGTGCTAATACTACTTGTTGCTAGAATGCTGAAAAATGGTTCTTGTAAACCCTAATAATAAATGCAATTTTGAAATCCTTAATATCCAAAATGAACAAAAACAGAATTTAATTTTGAGTAATTTGGTCACGAATTTGCAACAAAACGGATTGCGCCCGAATGTCATCCGGAAAAGCTCGCGTGCCAAATTGGAACTTGAACCGAGCCAAACCTTGTCGCGAGATGTGTCTCGGAGCTCCTATCAAATGACTCCAACCATCGGTCCAAATTGGCTCCGGATTTTTTTACGCAAAGACAATCGAAATCAAAATTCGTCCAAACTTGGCATAGGGTTTTTGTGATGTACAGCAGCTTGATAGAGCTTGAAATCACGATTCCAACCCACCAGAGATTGCAGGAACCGGTCCATTATAGCCATAGATATACAGAAACATAGGAATAGTAATGACTTAGTTTTCTGGTCTCTGGTTCTGTACTAGGACGCAATACAAAATAAAGACACACGAGGAAGTGTCGACCGGGATCGCATGTTAAATTTCGTCGACGCGAAATTCAGATCCTTGAATTTTGCCGAGCGAATTCCATTAATTGGAATTTCTTATACGAGAATTTCCGCGACCAGAATTTAGTGGACCACCGACTATAACTCCCGTGCGAATTCCGTTGACTTCGACACCTCGCTGCCGAATTTCTAACCGAACCGAGATCGATTTCGTCAAAATGTCCCCAATCTGTCCCCAAACTGTCCCCAATCTGTCCTGAGAAGACACTTTCGGGACACTTGAATCGAAAGGTCTCCGGTTCGAAACTTGCCTGCACCATAACCAGCGCCTTAGTAGAAACTATCCTGAATCTGTCTTGAGACACTTTCAGGACAGATTTGAAGGTCAAGAGTCCAAATCCTAGCGCAGACATTTTGTTGCTCATGGCAGCATTTCCTTCTAACACGCCCCCTTGCTCTCGCGATCACGCTACACCAGCCTGGCTGCAGCACAGCATTGGTTGTTGGCTGCCTTTTTGAGCCGCTCTGTGAAGAAGTCCACCAGCCACGCCGTCGTAGGGATGTGCTGCAACTCCAACTCTTCATGCGCACCATGTCCTGTAGCCACATGTGGCGACGGTGCACATGCTTCATGCGCCCCTGCAGCCTGCCCACCTAGCTGAGCTGCACCGCTGACATGTTGTTGACATACAGGTTGGTGGGAACACCCTTCTTGAGCAGCTGAAACTCCCAAAGCAGGAACTTTTCCTTTCCCGCTTCCACCACAGCCACAAGCTCGCTCTTGGTAGAAGAAAGTTTGGTCGCACCCTGCAGCTTCTTGGCCTGCCAGGAAACGGCAGCTTCGCCAAGCTTAAAGAGGTAGCCTCCCGTGGACGACCGGTTCTCCTTGTCGCCTGCATCATCCGTATCCGTATACCCCACGAGAGTTTAACTCTTTGGTCCTCCCTTGAACAGCAGCCCCATGTCCGCTGAGGCAGCCCAGTAGGAGAGTGTGCGGAAGAGCTCATGCGAATGTGCATCCGTTCTTAGGTGTGCACCTGCTGCAAAGCGGTCGGTCATGGTGCGATCGGCAAGCAGCTCAGCATCCTCCATCACAAAGCTGGTATAGGAGAGCGGGGTGATCGGCTGCTTCTTCGGTGGCGCCCCCTTGAAGGAGCGCTGCTGCACCTTCGCCACGTATGCATTCTGGTGCATGAGGAATGTCTTGTTGGGGCGGTCGCGCACAATATACAAACCAAGATAGCCTTCCATGATTGACATGCATTCCACCATGAGGAGATCTTTGTCCACCACCTTGCCTTTAGGTCGTGTCAAGGTTACTCCGAGGTTGATGATGATGCTCCTCAATCCCCCTTCCTCCTCATGAGCCTCATCCAAGTACTCCACATCATAGTTGATGTCCATACCATAAGCACCTCCAGCAAGGAATGCCATGCCGTACATGTTGTTGCCATCAATCGCATCTGAGGCCGTCATAGTGGATGCAGGAAGCCGAACAGGTTGGATACCCTTGTTGGAACTGCTAGAATGACATGGGGGTGGGGGGGTGGGCTGGAGGGGCGGATGGGGTATGGGGTTCTTCCCATGGGTTGCCGCCGATTATAGGTCCGTTGCCTCACTTTCCTTGTTTTCATTAGCTACACGACGTTCATCCGCAGAAGGACCAACCTCTGGTCCCACAGGTGCCAAGCCAGCAGCTAAGGATGGACAGAGAGGTGGCGGAGCCATGGTTGCGTTGCTGCCTGCAGGGTCAACTGAACGATCGAACGATTGCTCGCTCCCTTGCACGGACGGCACTGGGACCATGATGACGGTACGTGGCATCGGCTAATTCTGCTCAGGGCCATGGACCATCCCAAGAACCTCCCCCTCTCACTCATCAGGTAGCGGAAGTGTTTGACGAGTCAGTTTGGCTTCTTGGGAGGAGGCGCTTGACGTGTCCACCCCTCCTTTCTCTAGGTCCATGCATAGCATGCGACTATTTATGGCTGTCCTCTGCACCGCAACAGCATGGTCATTCTCAAGGTGAGTGTGCCGCAGGTTGAGCATCGCCTCGGTCCCCACCGCATATGTTGTGAGGCTGGCCGCTTTGTCATTCTCTTCCGGCGCGCCTGACACCACCTCAGCAAATGCCTTAGGCATACCGTTGCATGCCACCTTAGCCGCCGTGCCATTGCATGCTGCTGTAGCCGCTGTATTGTTGCATATTGCTGCAGCCACCATCCCGTTGCATGCCGCCGCAGCCGCCGTGCCATTGCATGCTGCTGCAGCCGTTGTGCCATTGCTTCCCGGTCATGGTTTCAGGTCAAGGCAGAGAAGACGATGGCGGTAGCATGCCGTTGCAGCCACTTGTCCTCCCGATGCGACGATGCGGGTGACACCTTCCTCGGTTTGCATATTTGCTCATTTATCTGTGAGTTGCCCAGGGGAGATCAAGTTGGCCTTCATTCCTGGCACAAAGAAGATACCATGCAGAGTCACACGCAAGCCGTTAGTGCCCTCCAGCAAAACCTCACCAACACCGACGACTTCATGCATAGAACCATCAAACCCTTTGAAAGATATCATTGCACATGGGTCACGGATCACCATGAACCACTTCTTGCGGCCGGTCATGTGTTAGGAGCATCCAGAGTCAAGGAACCACAAGTCTTTGTCGTTGGCCATAAAATTTGCAGCCAGACACGCAACGGTGAGCGCCACGCCCTTCCCGTCTCTTTCAGCAACGTTCATGGCTACCGTAGGCGTTGCATCCTTCTTCTTGTTGGCAGCCATGAGCCCTTCCCCATTACAGTTGTAGCAGCGCCCCTTGAAGGGGCCTTGTTTCTTCTCCCACTTGCTGTCCTTCTTCTTGTCAGTCTGCTCCTTTCCTCCTTTTCCTTTTCTCGTTGACCCCCGTTGTAGCCACAATCGTGTTGACAACGCCTGAGAAAGCAGATGCATTGCTGGTGATTTACTTGTAGCTGTGTTCGATGAAGAGAGTCTGCTCCTCCATCAACACCTCGCTGCACATACGTTCCACCATCATGTCAGGGCTGGAAATGTTGAGCTTGCGGCGAAGAAATCTGTGCTCCGGTGGCAGGCCCTTCAGTACGGGAGCAGCAAACGTGGCCATGTGGACCTCCTATCCAATGGTCAGCAGCTCCGCTCGGATGGCGCGGGCCCTATTGCTGTAGGATTCCGCCGTCTCATCATCTCCCTTCCTGAGATGGGCTAACTGGGTCTGAAGTAGGGAAGCGTGGAGGGCATCACGAGCTGGATAACTAGACAAGTTATATGCCCATGCTAGCTGCCCGGCTTTCTCTTGCAAAGAGAAACCACAGATAGACATTCGGATGGTTGGAGAAACCAGCGGTAATGCAAGCATTTGGCCCTTTACGTACTCCCTTCGTTGCATGGGGTTGTTTGGGGCTGGGCTTGGTGCTGCCACGTTGCAAAACTGCCACAAATTAGTGCACTGGAGCTGAGGTCGGATGGCAATGACCCACGAGGCAAGAACATGTCTTCCCTTCAGCAGCGGCGTCATAGAGATGTGCTCTACTTCAAACTTGAATTGGCCGTAGCTTGCCCCGATCATTCTCGTGTCAATTGTTGGTGCAAGAGCTCCTCCACGAACGCCCACGGGGTTGGAGCCTCATGCACAGCTCCTCCTTTACCTGTTCCTCCTTGTTGGCCGCTCGTGTTGGTGTAAGGGCCTAATAAACTCAAGCTATTAAGACTTTATCAAACTTCAAACCTCTCCTCGGGGTCACCTCCAAGGGTCCTTGGGTGCCTGGTACAAGACCAGCCCCTATCCTCGGGTCCGAGCTTGTAGAGAGAGGGATCAAGAGGGACTTAGTCAAAACAGCAAGAGTACCTTGAACGTCGCGCAGCGTATCGTGCAGACCGTTGATCAGATTAAGCTGAGAATTTACTATATCGAAGCTCGCTCCAAGAGCTTTAAAATGAACCAAGTTGCCTCGCGAAAAGTTCTGCCATTACGAAGTTATGGCTCGAACAGCGTTTGCCTAGCGTTGGAGTGCTAGCGTACTAGCGTTGACTCGGGTAGCATTCCGCCGTCGCACCTCGTAGAAAGGAAATTCCAGCAAGGAAGGAATTCGCTTGAATCAATTTCACTATATTCAGGTACAAACAGAGAAGGAATAGTGAGCTCACTAGCCTAGATCCAGGGCCTTTATACTAAGGAAATACGCCTAGAAATGGCTAAGGACTAGATCCTAGAGAAGAGAGGCCTAGAAATGGCTAAGGACTGAGCTATCTCTCTCTCTCGTCCTCTCTTTCTCGTCCTCTCTCGCTCTCGCTCTCGCCGTATGCGTTATATTCTCTTCTTTCGTTTACTGTCTCGTTATTTTTTCCCTCTGTTCCCGTTCCTTACTTTCGTTTTATGCCTTCGTACATTCTTCTCCTTGCTCTAACCATTCAATGCTAACGGCGTTTTTCTTAGCCCTTGTATTGTTTCATTCGTTTTTTTGTTATTCCTGTTTCTCTTTATTTCATCACACCTCATACTTTTTTCTGTTTGTTTGTTGTACCGACTATTTATTTCCGTTCCTCCTTTCCACTTCTTAAACCCGTTTCTCAGGAGCCTTGCTAGTCAGGAAGGCGATTTCAATCTGGAGAATGTGTATTGGTCACTAGGATTTATTGTATTGTCCTTTTAACGTTGATTTTGCTTGTTATTTAGTATCGCGTGTATCATGTATTTTTTGGCTGGGTTTGCCAGAGCTCGTGTTTTTTATTGTGTATGCGTTTGTTTGTGTGAGTGCATTCATCTCATCTGTCATTGCAATATCAATGCATGTTTGTCAATTTTAAAAAGGGGGTTCATTTCTATCATTTCTCATTGGTTCATTGGTGCACTCAGTGACTCGTGTGTTTGCCACTTCGAACTGAATTTGATAGAGTGAACCTCTTTTTTGGAGTTAACACATTGTATTTTTTCATGTGTTAGTTGATTATTCAAAGACTTTGCTATTGACTTCCCCCCCATGCTAAGAAGGGGATGCGGTAGCCTACCGTATTCTCCCGGACATAACACCCTAGGGTAGATCTAAATATACAGGAAAAAAACGGGGGGTGTCTTCTCATAGGAAAAAGCTACATAATACCCGGGTGCATATATATGGTATATTTTGGTGTAAGCATTTTTTTATTAGACAAGTTGAGTGTTTCCATGGGCGTTTTAACATCAGGTGTTGAGGCGCGAATATGAGTTTCGACGCAAATGTCATCAACCCCTCAAAAATGTCATGTGGCGCCTGTCTGGCCACTTGCAGCGCAAGATTCGCCAACACGTGGCGATAGCGAGATGGTGGGCGGGGGAGAAAATCGGCAGATTCGAATTGAATTCTGTCAAAATATATGTATATGTTATAATTATACCTAGGCTGTAGTGGGATAGCCAATGTGGGGTATAGGGTTTGTTACTTGTACCCAACCTCTCGATAGTCAACCATCCTTGCCTTTACTTTTGACATGGTACTAAAAGAGCCAATAGGTCCTTGGGACCGTTTTAGGACCGTTTTTCAGGGCCCACCAACCGCTTCCGCCGGTTACCGCGTTACCCCGCGCCCTGCCTACCCTGCCCTAAGTCGCGCAGCCCCGCGCTCGCCTCTGCTGGCCCACGTGCAGCCCACCAGCAGCCCGCCCGCTGCCTCATTAGCCTCGCGCGCAGCCCGCCCGCTGCCTCGTCAGTCCCGCACGATGCCCGCGCAGCCTGCCCGCTGCCTCGTCAGCCCCGCGCACTGCCCGCCCGCTGCCTCGTCAGCCCCGCGCGCCGCTCGCCCGCTCACCTGCTGTCTCGTCAGCCCCGTGCGCCCCTCGCGCAGCTCGCCCGCTGCCTCGTCAGCCCCGCGTGCTGCTCTCCCGCTGCCTCGTCAGCTCTGCGCGCCCGCCCCGCAGCCCTCGCTCTGTCTCTGCTGCCCTGCGCGTACTCTCTGCAGCCCTCGCGCTGCCTCTGTTGCTCTGCGCGCCAACCCTGCAGCCCTCGCACTACCTCTACTGCCCCGCGCGCCCACCCTGCGGCCTCTGTTGCCCCGTGCGCCGCCTCTGCAGCCCCACGCGCCACTTCTCCCGGCCTGCCCGCAGCCCTGCAGCCAGCGCGCCCCATTCCCCTGCCCTCGTGCAGCCTCTGCCAGCCCGCTCGCTGCCCTGCAGCCCACGCGCTACCTTTTGCCGCTCGCAAGCTGTCCTTGCTGCCGCTGCGCTTTCCCGGCTGCTCCTTACCTGTGCTGCGATTATGGCGACGCTCAACGTCCTTGCGTTTGAGCCTAACGGTCACCCAATAGAATTCGCCACTTGGCTCGACGACCTGCAGCTGTTCCTTATGACCGATGCCAAAGACGGTGTTTCCCTGTTCGATCATGCGTCTGGCTCCTCAGCTGCTCCTGCTGACACCGCTGAAACTCTCGCTCGCTCACATTGGCATACTCGTGATGCTGCTGCGCGCCTCGTTATTCGCAACCATCTGCCGATCACTTAGCGCGCATACTTTAGCCAGCACAAGACCGCTAAGGCACTGTACGCCGCTGTAGTTGCCCGCTACTCTTCCCCAGCCCCTGCAGCCCTGGGCCGTCTTATGCTACCCTACTTGTTCCCCGACCTGTCCTCGTTTGCCACCGTTGAGGACCTCATCTCCCACCTTTGCGCTAGTGACGTTTGCTTTCGTGCCGCCCTTCCAGACGAGTTCCTCGCCGAGAACCCACCCCCGATATATCTACCCTCTACTTTCTCGTGACTTGCCTCCCTGACACTCTTCGCTCAGCCAGGGACCACTTTTTCGCCCTAGACCCTACCCCTCTCACTGTCGACGACTTCGAGCAGTACCTCCTAGCGGTGGAGAAGAGCATTGTTGCAGTAGGTACTGCTCGTGGCACTCCTCGAACTCCCCTCTTTGAGGGGTGTGCCCCCTCCCCTCTTGCCTCCTCCTAGGCCTCTGCTGCTGCTGCAGTCGACCTCCTTGGTGTTGAGGAGGTCGGGGCTGCGTCCACTCCTAGTGGGAAACGCCACGGCGCCAAGGGCAAGGGCGGTAGGGGTGGTGGAGGTGGCAGCGGAGGGGGCGGAGGTGGAGGTGGCGGGGGTGGTCGTGGGGGTGGAGGTGGTGGAGGGGGCAGCGGGAGCGGTGGAGATGGCAGCGGCGGTAGTGGGGGTGGAGGGAGCGGTGGTGGCAGCGGTGGTTGGGGCTGGAGTGGAGCCGGCCAAAAGGGGGGCTCCAGTGGTGGCCAGGGGCAGCAGCAGTAGCAGCAGCAGCAGCAGCAGCAGCAGCAGCATCAGCGTGCGACCCCCGCGCCTCAGTAGCTTCGTGACTGGTATGCTCAGCGTGGGGCGTGTGGGGGTCCTGGCCGCTGCCCGTATGTTATTTGCACAGGTGCCCGCAAGGGTCAGCCATGCGGCAAGTTTCACATTAAGTACCGCTGCTTCTCTCGGCTTGACGATGCCTGGCGCACCCAGTTTCCTGACGCCATTGAGCTTCCCTACTGGGCAGACCTACTTAGGCGTGATGTTCCTATCTTTGATCTAGACTATGATGCGATTCTTGCTGCCATGTATGCATTGACTGTTAGTGCTGAGGGTGATTGCTATTTGTGTCTACCGCCTGACCAAGGTATAGAGACTGCAGCCCTAGGTGCTAGTGAGTCTGCTCTCCCTGGTATTGCGTCTCCTTAGGCCTTGCACACCTTTACACTTGACTCTGGTGCTTCCTGCTGCTTCTTTCGCGACAGTACCACAGTCAATCCCCTCCCTGCACCCGTCCCTGTCTCACTGGCTGGCCCCTCTGGGGGCCCAGTGCTTGCTCGCTCCTCCACTGTACTCCCGTGTCCAGCGGTCCCGTCCGGTGAGCTCTCAGGTCTCCACATCCCCTCGTTCTCTACGAACCTGGTGAGCAACGCTGTCCTTCAGGATCATTGGGTTGACACCTTTACTCCTAGAGGACATCGTGTGGCAATCTGCATGTGCTCTCGAAGTGGCCGCCACTTGGCCACGTTCACACGTGCACCTGGGTCCAGTCTGTACACCCTCACCACTGTGTCGCACTACACCCCTTTGTCTCCTCAGCTGTACGAGTCTGCTCAGGTAGCTATCCAGTGTAAGTGTCGCCATCTGTCGCACCAGACTCTCCTCTCGCACCACCGCCTTAGTCACCCCTCCCTGCCGCGCCTTCGTGGCATGCACTCGCTACCTGGTCTCTGGTCTTCCCACGTCTCTGCCCGCTCTCCCACCCTCACCTGCGCCGCCCTGCATTCCTTGCGTCGAGGGGCGGCAGCGCGCAGCTCCTCACTCCTCCTCATTCCCTCCAACAGAGGCTCCTTTGCAGACTCTCCACCTGGACGTGTGGGGCCCAGCCCGCGTCCAGGGACAGGGCCACGAGCGGTACTTCCTGCTGGTCGTCGACGACTACACGCGCTACACCACGGTCTTCCTCTTGCGCATCAAGGGGGACGTTCCTCCTGTTTTGATCCCTTAGATCCGCACTGTTCGTCTCCAGCTCCGCGAGCGCTTCCACTCGGACTTTCCTGTCCTGCGTCTACACTCTGACAGAGATGGTGAGTTCACCTCCGACCTCTTGCGAGCTTTCTGTGACGAGGAAGGCATCCTCCAGTCGTTCACGCTTCCGGCCTCCCCGCAGCAAAATGGGGTTGCTGAGCGCCGCATTGGCATAGTCATGGAGGTCGCTCGTACCTCCATGATCCATGCGGCTGCTCCCCATTTTCTGTGGCCATTTGCGGTCCCGTACGCCGCGCAGCAACTCAACCTCTGGCCCCGTGTCTCCGTGTCAGAGACTTCGCCCACACCGCGTTGGACGAGGGAGGTTGGCGATGCGTCGCGATTCCGGTTCAAGGGTGCTCGTGCCTTTGTCCGTGATACCACCGCGGACAAGCTCTCCGCTCACGCCATTCCCTGCGTCTTCCTCGGCTTTCCCCCTGACGCGCCTGGCTGGCAGTTTTACCACCCCGCCTCGCGCCGTGACTTCGCGTCTCAGAACGTCACCTTTGACGAGTTGGTCCCCTTTTACCATCTCTTTCCCTACCACACTGCCCCTCTCTCCCCCCCCACCCCCCCCTCCCCCCCCCCCCCCCCCCCCCCCGCTGCTCTTTCTCGCTCCAGGTCTCCCCCAGGTAGACCCCCTCCCCCCTCAAGGTCCTGCTCCTTCAGGTGTGTCTCACGTAGACCCTCCTCTCTTGACTGAGCCGGTTGAGGTGACTGGTGACTCAGGTCTTGCTAAGGGCGGTCCTGCTCGGGGTGCTCCTTCTGGGGGTGTCGAGCCTGGGGGTGCTGAGCCTGGGGGGGTGCTGAGCCTGAGGGTGCTGAGCCTGGGGGTGCTGGGCCTGGGGGTGCTGGGCCTGGGGGTGCTGGGCCTGGGGGTGCTGAGTCTGGGGGTGCTGAGCGTGCGGGTACTAAGGCTGCTGGTGAGCTGTCTCCTTGGAGCGGCCGCCTACGTAGTTGCACGGCTGGTGCCTCGCCGCAGCACTCTCGTTGACGTGAGCCTCTCTCCCCACAACAGCTGCGTGAGTAGTGTTGGGTGCAAATTCACATTGCACGAGATCCTGCCGTCTGTTTGTACGAGTATGCGTGTGCGAATGCATTTGCGTGTGAATGGTATGTTCGTTTGTTTGTTTGCTTTCGCAATTTTTGCTTGAAGCATTTGCAGGTACTCGCACAATGTGCGCTTTGGCACAACATTGTACGCGCTATGAACAGTACAAGCAGAAAGGACGAGCTCGCAAAGGAACCCAAGATGGAAGCTTTGCAGTTCGGTCGAATTGATTGCGCTGATTCAGTTCTATCCAACTTGTAATTGTACTGTTTTGTTTGGTTAACTATAGTGTAGCAGGGCAGGCACTATAGGGGTACAATTTAGGTGAAGGTTGGATGTTGTTTGTCTGTATCTGCATGCTACAAGGTCAGGGGAAACCAGCAGAACCAGCATTTGGCTGGTTGGGCAAAGACAAAACAGGTTCTGTTTTTAGAACCTGAATCCGGTTGTTGTTTTCCCAGGTTGGAAAAACAGAACCAGAGGTTGTTTACCAACCTACCACCTGCTGTTTTGTCCAGCCAGGTTGGTTCTGTTGCTTGGAATTATCTGGGATTATCCCTAGTTGTTCCCAGGTTGATTCCCAAGGTCCTTGCTAGCTAGAGCTATTTATTCCTTCTCTGTTTTATTCGAAATCTGGACGTGGGGGCAAGTCGGGTGCTGGTGGCAAAATGAAAGAGAGTTTCTGGTATTGTGAGAAAGAAGGGCACCCCTGGTTTTTGTGCTATAAGAAACCCGATGGATGGACCCCCCAGAATCGTCACCAGGATGGCGGCGCGCAGAGGAACCAGAAAAACGGCGCCAACATGGTCGCTGATTCGTCCGACAACAACCCTGTTGGTGTAAGGGCCTAATAAACTCAAGCTATTAAGACTTAAAACCTCTCCTCAGGGTCACCTCCAAGGGTCTTTGGGTGCCTGGTACAAGACCAGCCCCTATCCTCGGGTCCGAGTTTGTAGAGAGAGGGATCAAGAGGGACTTAGTCAAAACAGCAAGAGTACCTTGAACGTCGCGCAGCGTATCGTGCAGACCGTCGATCGGATCAAGCTGAGAATTTCCTATATCGAAGCTCACTCTAAGAGCTTTAAAATGAGCCAAGTTGCCTCGCGAAAAGTTCTGCCATTACAAAGTTATGGCTCGGACAGCGTTAGCCTAGCGTTGGAGTGCTAGCATACTAGCATTGACTCGGGTAGCATTCCGCCGTCGCATCGCGTAGAAACGAAATTCCAGCAAGGAAGGAATTCGCTTGAATCAATTTCACTATATCCAGGTACAAACAGAGAAGGAATAAATAGTTCTAGCTAGCAAGGACCTTGGGAATGAACCTGAGAACAACCAGGGATCATCCCAAATAATTCCAAGCAACAGAACCAACCTGGCTGGACAAAATAGCAGGTGGTAGGTTGGTAAACAACCTCTGGTTCTGTTTTTCCAACCTGGGAAAACAACAACCAGGTTCAGGTCCTAAAAACAGAACCTGTTTTGTCTTTGCCCAACCAGCCAAATGCTGGTTCCGCTGGTTTCCCCTGGCCCTGTAGCATGCAGATACAGACAAACAACATCCAACCTTCACCTAAATTGTACCCCTATAGTGCCTGCCCTGCTACACTATAGTCAACCAAACAAAACAGTACAATTTCGAGTTGGATAGAACTGAATCTGCGCAATCAAGTAAGCCGAACCACAAAGCTTCCATCTTGGGTTCCTTTGCGAGCTCGTCCTTTCTGCTTCTACTGTTCATGGCGCGTACAATGTTATGCCGAAGCGCACATTGTGCGAGTACCTGCAAATGCTTCAAGCGAAAATTGCGAAAGCAAACAAACACACGAACATACCATTCACACGCAAATGCATTCGCATACGCATACTCTTACAATCAGACGGCAGGATGTCGTGCAATGTGAATTTGCACCCAACAAACCCGAAGGGCAACGGCGGTGCGGAGAAGAAGAAGGAGCGCACCGCGGGCCAATTCTTCCATGTGGGAGACAAGGGGGAGCAAGGAGACGCATCTGCTAAGGTTGGAGCAGAGCTGCACCCCCTGGACTATTGGGTGTTGGACACAGGCGCTGCTTGGACAATGACGCCGCGCAAGGACCTGCTGGACGATGTACGCGCTGCACCGATTAACGAGGTGTGCTCTGCCTCTGGACACATGTTGAAGGTGGCTGGTGCGGGACGAGCTGCATTTAAGGGAGCGGATGGCAAGCCAGTGGTGCTGCACGATGTTCTCCTCGTCCCCGACCTGAAGGCCAACCTTATCTCCCTCTGTAAGCTTGGCAAGGCTGGGGTGAACACCAACACGGATGGGGCTCGCACTTATAAGGGGAAGCTGGACAATCGGGTGCTTTGGGATCTGCACGAGAGCACGAACGTGTACAGATCCATGTGGCAGCTGCCGGCGTTGGCGTGGCACGGTGGGGGGCAGGCTGGAGAGGGGTCTGCATCCCAGGGGGAGTGCAACGCCGTTGGAGGGGTTGGTGTGAAAGTGTCGGCCAGATCTGGGGAGACGGATTGGGCAACTGCACACCGACGTTTGGGGCGTGTGTGCCTTTGCTGAAGCAGCTGGAGAAGGATGGAGTAGTTAAGGGCTTGAAGCTGAACGGACAACCACCTGATGATAACTGTGAAATTTGCCTCCTTTCAAAGTTCACCCGTTTCCCCTTCCATAATATGGCTGGCAGTAGCAAAAAGCCGTTGGAGCTGG